TCGCCGCTGGTAACACACTGAGTTGACAGAACATTTCATAGAGCGTGCTTTAATGAGACATCAACTAACTCTAATCTCAGAGGAGTCAGTAGGGACCCTGTCAAGTTTGCGAACGTAAACTGCACGCTAGTAGTGCAGCGAGTACGAGCTCGTATTTCAAAGTACTGATGCTTCTATAGAATGAGCACAAACCTATTCAGGCTTTTCATGTGGAGTATACTGATGACGTAGCCATGGCAACAAGAACCTTAAACCAGGCCCTGATCATGGTGCATACTGAGACATGTGCTGGGATGAAACGTGCGAACCTCCTAGAGGCCATTCACTAATAAGGCTCTACATTTCATTTCTAATCCTTCCCATTAACTCGAATGCAGTGGCACAACCGTGGCATTTTAGTACAATAAACTTATCATTTCGGACAACTGATACACCAAGTGGATTCAGAAGCATGAACAGTTAAAGCCATCGGTTCGGATGCCTTGCGTATCAACATTCCGTATCCATCCTAACCCGTCTTGCCGTTGACACATCATACGTTCGATTTCTCTATCTAACAAAAAAGACTTGCCCATACAGTTAGCCAATGGTACCCCAAACGAACTTATTTCGGTATTTGTGAAAATCACAGAGTATCAACCATTTATCAGATTGTTCCGAAAACAAATCAAGGAGCCAGCTACACTTCGAAAACAACACTTCGAAAACAACAAAAACAAAAAACAACATTCAGCGGTAACATCCCTACAGTGTCTAGCTGCGAAACAGCCCGAAGGAAAAATAAGGACCGAGATATTGTCAGATTGCCCAAGCCTAGACAAGAGCAGTCGAGATGCAGAGGTTGGGTTAGAACCATGGGTCTTCCGGTCGGAAAGTTCGCGCCTTAACCACTGAGCTACCTCGAGCTCCAGGTGAACTTCCACAGATAGTTCGCAAAAAATAACCACGCGCTTCTTTTACACGGCACCACTCATAAAGTAGATGTGGAAACTAGGCAGTCGACTACCGATTTCGCCCGGGTTCATCAGGTGCGCTTGGTTTGTTCATTCAGCCCTGCACAATGGCTCTACAATCGCAAATAGCCGAGACCAGGTACATGCGACGGTATGTTGGATCAGTCACGTAGAATTTCATATATGCGCGCCATTCATGAGTCTTTTGTGAACCTCCCATTGATGCTGTATCCGCGCGCACGCCTCAAGACTAAAAAAACCTCATAAACCTGCCGCAGCCCTCATACGCAACAACATGAATGTTTGAGCCGCTAGCAAATAGTAAAGCCTAAACTCTCCAGGGTCCCATTACATATTGTAATGCACGCACTTGAAGACCAGTTGAGTCACATCAATTCACTATCACCGATAGTTTGATACAGCAGTAGTGGGTCACTTATCATTGGCACATGCGTGATACATACATACGGAAGCAGTCCTATGGAAACAGTGTGGCGTACACATTAAATCACGTGATGCGAGACCCGTGTCACATTATGTACACAACAGAGCAATACAGATGAAATGCGAAGATCACAACTATTGTGACAAGAGACACACGTAAGTATCCGACCCAGAAGCAAATTCAAAAATTTCTTAGGGTGTGAGTAACCCTCTACATGTTCTACTAAAGCTCTCAAACTAAGCAGTACCTACTCAGGAATACAAACAAAAGTCACAAGCTCACAGTAAGGCTTGGTGGTATTGCGAAGGGCCGCGAGGTGGAGAGAGAAACAAACATCCAGTCCTTGTATTCAGTACACCATCAGTGAAAAGTATAAGAAAATCACTTTTAACTGCTAATACAACCACAATATTCTGTCAAGCAATATGTGAACCAGAGTTATGGTCATTGGTAGTCAGGATTCAACAAGATTATGGGGGGTATGAGAACAAGGCTCAGTTGTCGATATTCAGCTCCCTCAAAGTTTTTGGCGACATGAATAACAGGTACATGAATCCACGCATTCCGACTAGTTACCAAACGATTGCGGTAAAATCGCTAAACTTCACTAGGATACGAAATCAAAAAGCCTACACATTCAGTAGCTAGAAGTTTGTAGATACTTGCGGTGTTTATTCGCTACCTAGTTTTTCCACCTAGCCTCCATATTCCAGCAAAGGAAAGAAGCGAAATACCTCTGCATGTGAATCGTCGCCCAACGGCTGACTGTGATGGTTGGTGAACTATACCATAGGGCTCAAGTACAATTAGACTACCTGGAGCAAACGTTCAAGGTCAGGACTTCAAACAATGCTCTTTACACGGCCAGGGCAACTGGAGAGTAACACTCTTCTTTGCGTCTTTGTTCAAAAACACTCACTCACATTTCATTCAAACCCGTCAAATGCCAGTGCCCTAAACATTGCACCGTAACTATCCAGTCACCCAGTAAATAAAAAATAATGGCCGTTGGTCTGTTCGCCGAGTTGGGCAATTTGGTTGTCAACAATTATCCACCAGTTGAGATGACACTATCAGTGCGTTGTGAGTGAATGCGATTGATGCTGGAGGTGCACGGCTGTCGCGCGTTCATGGATGGATATCAGGCTTACTCAACTAGGTCGATCTTCATCTGTCACCGGTCGTTTGGGTGAGCACCCCTATTGACCTGTTGTTTGACTTGTCTTTTGGTTGCTGGAATTCTGAGTGGTTTTGAGACTTGACCCCTCTGGTCCCCTCGCCATGATCTTTGTTTATCTGCCATGCACTGAGTTGGTACTCCCTCGGTCAAAGCGGTGTGCATAGAGGTTTGATTTCGATATGCTGGTTGACTGAATCCTTTACGGAGTACCATTCCTTTTGGAATTCCCTTTCGTGTGTTTTACTTCTGCGTGCTACGGTCTTCACGACATAGTTTAGGTTTGTGCCCTTCCTTGTCTTCATGTAAGGAAAAAAGACAGTGGTTCATGCCATTTTCTGGCTGCGTTGTGTTTATATAGAGTTTTCTTCCAGTCTGTCCAATATAATAGTTGTTGCGGTCCGTGAAGTTGATTCGGTTTACAACGTAGGATCTTGTGCTTTGTCCTTCAGTCTTGAGACCAGATTCCTCACAAATCAGCACTTCGCCCTTTCTTATGATTACGCAAGACGAATCAGAACAGTTCTGTTCATCAAGTTCGTTTTATGAAACATCTGTTTCAGAAGCTCAAAATCATCGGACTGAACTGACTGGAAAGCTACTGGAAATACACAGCCACGTTGGTGACGAAGATTGGTCGGGGGTTGAAAGAAAACGAGTGAAAGACGCTATGCTTTCAGCTTGACGAATTGTGTATTCGAACCATCCGACTGGGCCAAAAGAACGTTGGATACCGTCGAGACTGACATAACGTATTGCCATAACAGCAGCTACCGTTTGTGGTGGCTCACGAAGACCCGCAAACGCCGGATAATCAAGAGCTTGACGGATGACAAAGAACGCTTGTGGATTGTTTCGGGCTGGGATATGCAGAGAGTTTCGCTGCAGATAACAGCCGCACCATATTTCAGCTGATCCTATCAACTGGCCAAAAGAGGTGTCGGTGAAACGATTAGCAAAGATGTGACGACAAGTCGTTCGCAGAATCGTCGTCTTGACCAATGGACTGGACACTTTAAAGAACAGTTCAGCTGGCCTTCAAAATGAACTCTGAAAAGATCCAACGAGCCTATGTGGAACGCCAGTGCCAACCGGCCATAAGCAACAGGAGTCCAGTGCAAAATGTAATTCCTCTAAGGCGACCAAGCATCCCGCCCGAAAGGTCAGCACCCTGCACTTTTCAAACAAGATGGTACAGTCCCGGTGCACAAACTGACGACCTTATTACAGATTTGGAATGAAAACAGAATAGCGGTGGGAAAAGACTCCTTGAACGTTATCCATATTTTCAAAGAGAAGGACGTCGTGCGAAAAGTACAGTGGCATCAGTCCAGTAGCCGTCACCTACAAGTCGCCTTGGGAATTAAGTGGCGTAGGTTGATCGAGTATCGAGAGGGCAGGATTCGTGAAAATCCAGCTGGGTTTTGCCTGCTCGATGATCTATCAGCCAAATCTGTAACTTGAAAGAAGTTGTTGAACTTGATCTGCACTCTGGGTTTAACTGTGTCGATCGTCAGAAACTATGGGGACTCATGGGAAAAAAGGTTTGTTCTTGCTATTGAAATATCGCTGACGCGTCTGAATCGTTTTGAGACTAAAGACACGTCCAGGATGAACGAAAACTGTCGGCGATTAACCATCGGTGATCCGAAGGATTTGCCAAGTGTGTTAGGGTGATCGGACTAGGAATACAGAGGTACGCCAGGTGGTTTTAAAAGGAACTCTCCTGCGAATGTTATCCACTGTTTCCACTCCAAGTGAACTCGACATTACAACAAAAAGCACTGAACATAATCCCAAATGAAATCATACGAAGTTACGCGAACTCAGATAAACACCCGATTTACTTAACCATTTGCAAGGTATCGCTTTTAAAAAGAACGATTGGCTGAAAGCGTCAAACTTATCTCGTCAACAGTTTTAGCGTGACCGTAAGGCATCCTAGTAAGGAAAATTTCCATCCGCATCAAGCAGTTGAGAGTACCCTCAGTGCCATCGAAGACGTCGTTGCAAGAAATGAAGCAACCACAAGTGCACTTTTCAGCAGCCTGAAAGCAACCTTGATTTAGTGGCGTTCATATTCGAGTCACTTTTTGTTCTACTCTAGGCAATAGAACATTTTTGTCTCATAAACTGCAGTTAAAAGACAACACAATACTAACAGTTATCGGCAGACTGTATGAGAAAAATTGTGGTAGTATGGGACAGAAAACACGGAAGTACGACCTGGTACCTAGTGTATGATGACTGCAGATGAGGTTACAGTGAGAACGCATGACTTTACATGCAGTGGGAGCGAGCCACAGGTGCACAGGGTTCATATAAAACAGGTCGCCAACGTCGACTAAATAAGTCCTTAACCGTTACGTGAACCGAAAACATTGAAAAACCTGTCGTAAGTTATCGTCACTTATGCTAAACTTACCTATATTTATCCAACCAGTCTGTCTGTTCCGCCTGAGCGTCTTTCAATGCATCCTGACCAATCTCAAAGTTCCCGGAGTCTGGATGATTCACTAATGTGTTCCTACTCCTGGCACCTCCTTGATGTGCGTGATAAATCGTTCGTTCGCGGAAACGAGCTCCTTCCTCAGCATTAGCAAATTCCAACACACAACTCCAAATCTATGACGATGAAAGAAAAACTACACGTCAAACTAATTCAAGCATTACCAGATTTATCTTGTCATTAAAAAAGACAGATGCTGCGGACGAAGAGGATCGCAGTGGAGAGCACCTACAGCTCGCGCTGCCTCTAAGTGACTAATAACGAAAGCATATATGCAGTTGAAATCTATATGACAAACAGCTTATGTTAGCCAGAACTCCAGGAAGAGGTAAACGCTATAAGCAGCACGAACCACACGAATGAACCTACCTTCTCTTTGAGGCAATCGAAAGCTTACGAGCACTTCGCATGCGTAGTGATCAGACCATGCAGGGCGCAAAAAAACTAGTGTACAACCAGCGTCATTGAAAGAGCCAACCAGTGGAAACGGTGCCGTTGCCGTTAGGCTGACCTCAAGTAGCATGTGGCCTCAAACTGAAAGGGTCACCTGTCGCCTGAATATGAACGTCGGTGTGCAGTACAGAACCGTGGAGTAACATAGGCTACTATTAAAATATAACGCAGCTGACACTAGTTACTTTTCGCACAGTAGAAATGAGGACGATATGTTGACAAATAAAGTACATCAGATTTGTGCTCCCTCGTGATGTACCACTGACTGCGTTCGTACGGCCACAGAAATCCGTCGTTTCAGTTTCACTGCGCCCTTGTTGAACCACTCACAAAGCATGACAAAAAGCATCTTGGTAAGAGCGCGTACTACTCAGTTTCTCCACTAAGGCTCTACATTTCGTACTTCGGGTGAAGATAGCAAAATACGAGGTGGTAACTCGGATCTGCCAGGATATACTGTTCATGCAGGCACGTGAAAATCTAGAGGGCACTAACAGACTGGCGACGGATCTGAATGGACGTTGTCAGTCCGCAGTGCTTTGCGTGGACTCATTACGGAGAGAACTGGCCAAGTTCTATCAATTTATCACTAAAATGCCAAAAATTCGCTCGAACGCAACCTGTCGATTGCGAAAGGATTTTATGGGTCCATCAAATTTCGAAAATGTGACAGTAGTCCATCAAGGGGTTATCAAACAAGCAGCCATTTATAAAAGGTCGACAGGAAAGGCAAACTGTGCTCCATTCTAGGAAAGATCGCTCAATGGAATTTGGCTAAAAAAAACTAGAACTCAGCCGACTATGCTGTACAATTGCAAAGAATGACCGCAAATCAGCCACACATCAGGATATATTTGAACTTACTGAAGTCCTGGTGGTCAGCTATTAACGCGGAACTGTGGCAAATCACTTTCACTTATCAAATAACAAAAGGTTTCCCAAACGCATCACACCGAATTGAGATTCACTGTGAAAATCTACAAAAAATGTCATAGCAAACGTCCACCAGAGCAGATTTGTTAAAAAAGTCTTAGTACAAGAAGTTCACTTTCAGCTTTGAACGCAACACACATCGATGGTACTAATTTTCTACCACACTCGACAATTTAAGAATAAAAACAACTGAATCCACCAACAACGGACCTACAGCAAACAAAAAACCAAAGAATTAAAACAATCCGATAACTGACATAGTTAAACTGCTGACAAGATGCACCTTACACTATGTGACTAATCTATAGTATGAGGGTTCTATGACAAAAGCTAAGTGCAGAGTAGTACTATATTCATAGCAAGTCAGTTATCAAAAGCGGACCGGCGATCGATAGTTATTGTTGAGTCACAGCCCACCAAAGAGTCGGCGTCGTATGCTATGGAGAAGGTAATTCCTAATGCGACGCACCCATTTAAAAATCGTGACATGTGCAGGATCAACCAAAAAATAAACAGCTTGGCGAGCAGCAAAACGCATGCATTGTGGAATTTTGGTTTGTCTCAGGATAGGACCCATTCAAGCCTAGCACTGCCGTTCTGTGGCAAACTGATAGTCGGAGGAGACAACGGGTCGAAGGTGATGAGCGAGCGAAGACAACAAACATCCAGGAGAATCGGAAAGTTGTAATCATGAACAATCGAATTTAAGCTCTGAATCTCATTCCACCCCGATATCGAGATGGAACAAATCGTAGCAGTAATTCACGATTACTTATCTGGACTGAGGATAGCTACTGCTTGATAAGAGTGTGGTGTGAATCCGTCAAGATATCCCCCCCCCCCCCCCAAAAAAAAAAAAACCAGAAGGGGTTTACAAAACGCTAGTAAGCTCATACTCTTTCACTAACAAATAACACTACACGTGATGCATCAAAAGTTCAGTTCCTATGCGCATGAAAAACGAGGCCCAGAAGAAGGTGAATCTGACAGCTAGGAGTACAAAACTTTCGGAAAAAGACTGGGCCTTACATGGTGTGAAGGAGCGTTTACTTTTACGACCCAGTGCTATATACCGATAGGCTCCTTATGGTACCCACAGCGCCTCCCATAGGAGACTGGTGAGCGAACAAATGTTGGAAGATGGAAGATGCACGGCGAATTATTCCTCGTACGGACGTGGAAATATTTGGCATACATATGCTGCATTGTGGCCGGGATTTTGAGCCGTCTTCAAAGGTCCTAATTTTCCATCTCGGTTTGGGTGCTGTGGTAGTATGCCAGCCAACGTGATACGGGATGCATTTTCTGCAAATGAACTGACCACTCAACCACTCTCTTTCAGCTTTAGGCTGTACAGCTCTGGTTAAGCAGGGGCCGCTGCGGCCGGCACTGTGGTGGGCTGCCAAACAGAAACAAATCTGATTGTCTAGATAGTCATCTCTTGATAGTCATCTCTTTGCGGTTCGTTTGCCAACCAAAGCAGAAAGCGTTTTGTGTTTGCCTACGACCCAACAAACTGCTGCTTTGAAGCGCAAAACATGTTTTATGAGGCTCTTCACAACGGGCTAAAATCGTTGATACAATCATGGTCACCGGTAGCATGAACATGTGCCTCCGCTGAAAAAAACACATGAGATGGACGACGGATAACAATGATTGCACTGATAACACCAATCAAGGAGACTCAGGCTCAAATAGACCACCTGCCATTAGGTATCGGTGGCGAAGACCGAGCATCTCCCATTGTTTCACCAGGAATACCGGTGTGGACTCCAATCATGTATTTATCTTAGAACTTGAAGGTTTCCGAAACTTGCGGATACCCTTTCTCGCCAAGGCCCGGTGTTAAGAACGATGCTGACGATGACCAAAGATGTACTCCGAACGTTCGTTTGTTCAACCCCATAACATTAGATGCTATGAGGCGAAGTCGCTCAACTTTGAAACTGGCTACTGAAAACCCAGTCGCATCATTTCTAAATTATTGTGACAGCATGTTGGAGAGATCCCCTGAAGTCAAACACCAATCAACCAGTTTGTCTACGTATCTGCCGTGTTAAACAGATGGAATAAGAATACTCATCGACTGCATTTTTATGCTCACGAAAATGTTCTACCAAGGACCCCAGTACAAAGTCCAAACGAGTCGACTAAAACGGCTATAAAGCTGTAATTATTGATTCAAAAATCTTTTGGAAGCACGTCGGGGATGCGTAGCTGTTCGAACAACCAAGCCCAGGGGGGCGGCTTGAAGTCAGGAAACACCTAAAGCAGGTGATGAACTAATCACCAGATTTCTGAACTGTAGCGTGAACTGCTTGTAATCTACAGAGGATCTTGAGTCAACACGCCTAGAAGGTGCGATGCATTTTAGCGAACCTGCTATTGGCTACAAAGGGAAGGAGTAACCCATTTATCACGTGGAATGCACAAACGTATATGAATGACCAACGCTGCAGCAGATGCAGTGGAACTACGAGAAAACAGAAGCAGAAGTTCGTTTTGCTGTGGAGTAAACAACGAACTCAGTAAACTGAGGATGCAACAGATAAGCGTACCTTTGGCTTTCGCAATCGCTGGATCACTTCTTCGGTTTGCGGTACCTTGGTTACGTACATGACACCGACTGGCTCGCTAGGTTCATCCGAGTCTGTTTGAACATTGCTGCCGCAAAACGATCCATCACCTGTTGCTCTGACTACTTTCACCTGAGACTTTGAGTTACGTTTCATGGATGTCTTCGTCAAACGATGACCTCTGATTCTTAGTCGGACTGCGGGACCTGTATCCGGAGCAGAAAAGACCAGTGGTGGTTTCCGGTATACATACGTTGAAAGGTTATCAGGGTGATGGGGCAACAACCGAAAGTCTGCTTTGTGGGTCCATGAATTTGTCTCGTAAAGTATGGGCGTGAGATACGGGAAAAATATGGGCCACATTCGAGCGACCAACATTTCAAGCAAATTATGACCTGAAAATGACCATAGTAACCGACCTCCGATCGTATATACCTTGCTTCAATCGCGTCATCCATCCGAAGCTAAAGAAGCTACTGATAAACCTACGCGTGACCTTAGCCCACACATCGCACTGCTTGTCCTGTCTTACTTTAACAAGACTGAATCATGGTGGACGGCACCTGATCGAGTGAACGAAAACTAGCACGACTTCTGTGATGGAGGATAGGTATAATCATGTTTAGAAAATCATATGATCGTTCCACGAATAAACAAACATCTAAGTTAAGCTGATGGTTAGAACTTAACATAACGTGGCAGGTCCCACTTTGAAGTTGTTTATGAGACAAGTTGGGAAGCTGTTTATAAATCATAGTAGGCAGAAGCCGAACGGAGTCACATAAAAATATACATGCCAAAAGTAGAAGCTAATGTCAAAAAGCATAAAACTCACCCGCAGCTTGATCTGACTGCACTAAAACGATAGAAAAAAAGTGACAAACTCAAGGACGGTGAACCATACTCCATTATTCTGGGTAATACACAGTGCATGAAACAATGGCTGTTCACGTGCGGTCTCCTTGCAAATATGTGCAAAAGAGTAGACTGTCCATTTGGTTAGGTTTTCCAGTGCTTGCGAACCGGACAATCAATGAAAAGGATTACATGGCTACAGAAATTTGACCTTCTCCAAGTACACACCACTAATCAGAGCAGAGCCAGACACAGACCGAAGTGCAAATGCACTTTCACACCTTCAGAGTAAACTGAGTAGTGTTCAGGTCACAACCAGCTTTTAACTTCCCGCATACATCTGCCCACGTCAAATTAAGGAGCTAGGTCAAGCACAACACCGCTGGTAAAAACTTTGGTATAAAAGGAATGAATGGGAAAGGGGGTTTAATTGCACAGAAATCGAATCAACGCAAAAATGTATGGAGAAACTTCGGTCTGACACCACTTCACTGCTAAAGTTGTCTACTTTTTTACTGCAAGACAGTTCGAAAGTCGTGTAAAAGTATCTGTAAGAGTCAAGAAAACGATGCAGAATAAAAATAAACTGGAGCGAGGCCGGGACGTTTGGGAGCGTAAGGAATTTCCATAGACGAGGATAAGAAGTAGTCCCGTGAAGAATTATAAAGAACACACAAACATGTGGAGAAAAAACTACAAAAAATTCTGTAGGGGACTTTTGAAATTTGATACCAGGACTATATCTAACATCAACACATATAGAAGTCCCTGAATTAGATCGAGACACATGTTTGAACACCGACTAAGTGGCGAAATTCACGGTGATCATTCTGCAGTAGGCAGTTCTTGATGTTGTGGATCAGCTCTGCACGAAAAAAAAACTGAGGTTGGAATTCAACCCTTTTGGATGCCATTTGCTTGTGATATGCAGACGTCTGCCATGTAGTAGCATTATGTAGCTTTATGTATCCCAACTCGGCACGCCTCTTGTGTCAATTATCACTGGAATGTCCTGCAGGCGAAGACTCCAATCTATTTGTCATATAAAGTGAATCTTGATTGTCACTTCAGCCACTGAAAAACTTTCCATTGTGTGCTTGATCCACACTGACATGACAAAGGGCACACATCAAAGGCATATTCGCAAAGTAAACACACTAAGACTAGAAAATTTTATCATAACCCTATTTTATTCCAGTAAACAGTTAAGTGCTTTTAATCACAGACAATCGAAACTTCGCAATCAACCAGAAAAAACACGGATGGCTTCCGGAATTCCCTGACGCGGTCAATCGAAGAAAAATCGATGAATGAACAAGAGAAATTCGTACTATCCTTCCTTCCTTCAGTTGCTGNATCCTTCCTTCCTATCTGTCAGTTGCTGTGAATATCACAGTTGTTGGGTTAGAAGTAGGGAAAGTAAAAAGATAGCGTGTCCGACTACTACTACATGATTTACGTTGGCACTCCAAGTTTAGCTTTGGCACTGCTAATAGTCCAATCTTCATGTTCTCTACAGGCATACAAGAAAGCATATGCTTGAAAAAACTTCCATGATCGCCAAAGAACACACTAAAAAACGTCCCCCACTAGATTTTTATAGGACTTCCTACTTCTAGGGTCATTATTCCCTTCTTTGATAACCGATTATTTCCACTAAAAGAAGATCGTGAATCTCATGATTGACGGAAAAACAGCAAAAAACACGTTTCGTGAGTCGAACGACAATCTTCAACGAAATAGGTTTAAGGCCCACTCCGATGTATCAATGGTTTCTAAACTGCCTATAACAAAGTCAAACTAGATGAAGAAATTCAAACCCATATCCAGAATCCTATCTTCGCTTTTCGAGTTTTAGCTTACCCTTCAACGCGGATGACAAAACCCAACTCGAGTTTATCTTTCCTTATCTCCTCCAATCGGAATTGGGTAACCACGTCAGCGTAGAATTTTCATGCACCATTTAATGAATGTAATGAAAAATGTTTTGCATGCCAGCGAAGACAAAATCATCTACAGCGATAAGCCTGATGATGCGCAACAACAAGTAGGAAAGAACACTCTAGTAAACAATGAAAACAAAGTGAAAAGATGAGAACTACAAGCAAAAAGTCTAATATTTTTGTGGATAGGAACCAATGGAACGCGCCTGAACACTTGAACAGCACCGAAACAGACATACCTTGGTATCAGGTGGGCTGAGAAGCTAGCAGTGGGCTCAACTCGGAATACGTTGCGAAAATTACCCAAGACCAGCCCAGTGAACGACAGATGGTCTTTAGTCTAGCATTGCGGCTAACAAGTGACAATACACGTACTACTGGGATCGGTTGTGTATTACATACTGTATGATTTCTAACCACGTACATGTAGAACCAGGTGGGTCTCAGTCAGAAAGGCAAAAAAACCCGCAACACTCCGTCCCCTTGCTACTGCTTTCATTTCGCATTTTCATCTCACGAAGTTTCCAGCGAAATTCTCGCTAACAAGGGCCTCTAAACGAAAGCAACACTTTAATCAGTAGACAACGACTGGGGGTGCGTAGTGTATATCCCAAACATCTTGCTTGATAATCTAGTGACTCTGGTCCGTTGGTAATTATCAAATCAGGCAACATTTAATCTGGAGCACAAAATAGTAAATATCCACAAATATCACATCTCTGAGGGAGTGTGCAAATCCAGGGTATCCTTTCAAAACTCTATGACGGGGAAAGTTGAAAAATGGCTTACAGTCTGAAACGAATTGCAGAACCACACACTGACTCGACGAATTTAAGGATAACGAACCTGAAAATTGTACATTTCCTTCCGTATAACGTGAATGAATCTCTCAATCTCTGTTGTGGCCTGCAGAACCACATTTAAGCGGACTTTCAACCAGGGTCTAATGTCATTTTTTCGGCAACTCCAGACCAACATGTTCGCACTTCAATGAAGTAATAAACATCATTTATGATTCTGTTAGATATCAAGAAGACTCTAGATAGACTGGTTTACGACTTTGTACAACTCCTACTCAGTCCCTTTTGAAGTATACATATTGTCGGTTAAGGGCGATACCCATTCTTGTAAATCCTACCGCAGCAGCCTATGGGTCACCAGAGGTGCGTAGTCAGAAACGAGTGGAGTGACGAGGTGGTTAGCTCAATCACTGTTCTTGCATTTTGAATTCTTGCTTCTGAGACACAGTACGCACCAATGCCAAGCGAGTCCAGTGTGAAAACAAGAGCACCTTGTCCTGCTTGTTTCAGAATGCAGACATTGAAGGCGCCGGATGAACTGGGTATCGAGGCTTGAGGATTGATCTGGAGCTACCTGAGGGTGTCGGCGCCGTGTGACGAGCAGATGTTGCACGCAAAACCAAGGCAAGACGAACGGAATTATCAAAGACGATACAATGGGTCAGGAGGTATATGTCCTGAAAGGTAAGCGGGTCGAAAATGGGTATCTCGTCAGGGTCATCGATACCCTACACTTCCTCGTGATATTCCCTCGACAGCGCCAAGAGTCAGTCCGTCTCTCATTGCCATTCACGGATGATAACATCTCTTCACCGAACAAACAGCGCTCAAGTTCAGCGTCCAAACGGACGTACAGTGCGTCTCGTTGAGGAAACAATGCGAATGCCGACGCCAACATAGAACGGTGCAGTGCCCTACATGCCATGTCAAACTTGACCTGCCGGTCTGGTTGTATCTTCATAACCACAGACCAAACAACGACGTATGTTGGAATCCGAATCAATGAACACATCCCAAATTGGCTAGTGTGATCCAATTCTAGCTGTTCAAGAAGCATTAAACCTAACTCGTGTTGGGCAGTGACCACGGCGCAGACCCCGTTTAAACCTAAGCATTATTTCTTACTGTGAAACCTAAGTACATGCATCCGATCGTGAGGGCTTTTTCTGTTGACGGAGTTAACCCTTGTTTATGTGCGCAGAAACAATTAGCCCGGTAAACCATTGATCTTGTGCTTACCCTTAATTACACCAAGATTTTTCAACTCAAAATTAAGTTTATACTTATTTTTATATTTTATTCTACCCACTGTATTCACATTATATTATTGCTGTTTCGGACGCCTAACACACTTTATCATTTCGATTGTAATAGTTGATCAACTAAGCCGGAGGATTTTTGAACACCACGTGGCCTTTACCTGATGACAGTAATCAGTAGGGCTCATNATGTTTTGACCTAACTTCACGGCAGTAACTACTGAGCTGTGCATGAGACCTAAAAAGAGCAACTCTGACCATTTTAAGCCCTGAAGAGTAAAAGTGTGTTGAAGAATATCCACATTATGGTTTTGAAATTGCCCGAAATCAGAATGGAAATTGATTTTTGAGCGCCAAATATTTTTAGCATCATGCATAGATTATCTTGAATCGTGCCGCGGGTTTTCATCACTATCACAGATACGATGGATGTCGCTTCTGATAACGAATTCGCTTGCTATAGGATGAAATTTAGGGGAAATTTCGATGAGTCTGCTTCCAAAGAAGTGATCAAGAGATTGGACTCAGTATAAAATGCAGATGGAAATTCCCAAATCTCCTCAGACCACCAACATGCTGGTGATTTGTTAGAAGTATTTATCCATCGATAAACGGAATAAGCGCCTGACGCTCTTGACCAACCGGTCATGTGTGCGATTCCATTATGCCATGTGGTGAATCCCAAATAGAGCAAAAGTGTTCATGTGGCCGAGCCTCTCGAGATCAAATCGCAGATTTTATCACATCTTTACTAGGACTTGTGTTTTGGCCCGATGCAGTTCGATCTACTCCAACTACTACTTGTAACATGATCATGCTGGGTTTCCTATCGTAAACAAGTGTCACGTGCTAGGCGCAAAGGAACAATAGATGATATAATGCCGAGCTGCCAGGCTTTCCTTCATAGTAAACAACTAGATAAAGTGATGAACAGTGAGCGGATGGAACTACACACAAAATCGTTTTGGCTAAGAAAACAGCCGATAAAAGGTAGAAGATCGGGTACGCATATCACTTTATTACGCTCATTTTTCGGGTATTTTTCTGTGGTCCGCATTCCGAGAATTTTCGGAATAAAATCGTAAATTATGACAGTGTCTTGGAGTGCACAATCGTTTGACGTTCATGAAGAAAATGAGGGAGAGTGATCTTGTGTTCGCCTGCTAAAGGCCCTCATTCGTATGAAATGGATATGAAGTGATACGACAACGATCGCAAGATCGACCAACAGTCATACCATGGACTGGGGAAAGGGGAACCAGCAGCCCTCGTGCTCTTCTCAACACGGCACATTTCATCCGTCTAGTTATTTGTTTGATTTTGAAGTAGGCACTGGAACAGCATCCACAGAAAAGACGACTCAACATGGCTGACACGACTAAGTTACCGCAATTCAGTACGCTGGACACATTTTGCAAGGAAGCTACATATTTCAAGATAGAAACCAAATCGATTGGCATCAACTAACTAAAGCTATGCTTATAAGAGATAATTTAGCAAAGACTTGAAGAAACTCCATGAATTCTTCCCTGGGAGATCATGCTTTGTGACCAAACGACGAAACAGCATGCACCGAAGTCACATTTGTTTTACTCTTGAGATTGAGTATCATAGCGCTTCGGCGCCACAAGGTATTTCGCAACCTCCCTCGCCTCTGAAACTTATGGATCATCACCACTGCACAATAAACCAGAAGGCTATATAGCTAAAACCTGCAATGTAGCGGTGGACCAAAAACATCATAAAGCAAGTAATTTGTTTGAATTTCACAATGAATACAGCCAGAGGTAAGTAGAGGTCTACAAACACACTTCCGGTACGCAGTTCAACAACCCGCGGGATTCCGCAGTAAGGCTAAGCACAAGAAAGTTCTATGCATGGTTATATTATTACCTTTGCATTGCACTTGAGTGACGATGTAGGAAGCGGAGAAAAGATGGCGAAATGAGAGAAAACGGATGACGGTTAGAATCTTGGGAAATGACTCACATCGCTCTTTCATGGGTGGTAAACTGCAGATTAATAAAGAGTAGAACATAACCAAATGGTGCGAAAACAGCTTACTCGGTTCACACTGGAAAGCATAGTTCAGTCCTATGAGTTCCTCCGGGATGAGCTGAACGAGAGCACCTTTTGCACTTCGCGATCCAGTGAACAAGAACAGTCTAGACAGAAACAAAAAGTAACTAGTAATTGACTGGATTGACAAGATTACACAATATTAGGAAGCCAGAACAACGGAGTGGTCTCGAATTGTCAAGCGCAGCAAAGTGGGAGGGCTGGGGATACGGATTCCGAAAACTTAAACAAGCGATTGAGGAATGTGAGTCTTCACGCGAAACAGTGAGAATTCCAAACCTATGTGCTAAGGGATTGTCGCTACTTTCCAATCCGCTAGGAAACTATCATTGGATACACACAACCTTCGTGTTCATAGGGTGCAGATCTATTTAAGGGGTTTTGTAGACTAGTTTTCTTCTTAGGACATAACACGATTCTACACGATCTGCAAGTCATTTGCCAAGATCGGCTACCTTATCAGCAACCAACTGACCAACCTGATCAAACAATATTTGGACGGATTCCAAGTCTATCCAATAAAAACGTGATTTACATTCCACTCAAGTTAGTCACCCAGAGCTCCCATTGAGATTTAAAATGATAATCATCGCTATATTCTAAAGTGACTGAAATGGTAATAGTTAAAAACTCGGATACCACGAGTCTTAACTGGGTGTGGTTGATTACTGAGAATACTACTAAAGTAATGAAGTTACAAAACGTTTGCACATTAGGCTAACGGAAAGGATCCTCAAAAGGCCACTAAATTTTCACTAGGCTGTCGCCACATACAATGATCAACATAAGCGAACCGAGTGGCGTAACTAGGAGAGACTCCTGAGTATCTACCATGTTCAAGTGTTTACAGCTTGATAGCCCACGTTATGTGTAAGTCCAATACGGAATTTTCGCTAACATAGGAACGTGGTGTTAAACGGTGGATTACCTTCTGACGGACTGTAGGATTAAAACACAGTTTACTCTAACAGTAAGCGTGAATACTTGGCACACTAGTTGAGTGGTCCTCGACCAACATCAACACCAATACAACTAAGTGATCACTCTTGAATTCGTTTCTGTTGATGCTTACGGTTGAAGGAGAGCTCAAGCGAACAAAATGCAAAAGTGACTTGGGTTGCTCTCGATAAAAAAGCCATTCGAAACACATGCACAATGCATGCTAAACACACTTGTCCTCGTTTGGAGAGACTATCCACTTAGAAAATACTTTTGGTTGGTCCTTTTAGACTCTATGACTAATTATTTGCAAGTATGGGCATCTAAATTGACGGCAGTAGGCTAGCAAGAGGTTCCTTTTGTCTACTCTTATCTTTTCGACCTTGAGGCATTAAGAGTCAATCAGATGAACATTGGTTGTCCGACAGTGAACCATCGACAACACTGATGAGGAGTGATTGTCTGTCCGCAAGGGCTGATTTGGACAGTCTATATGGATGGTTGTTGTGGAAAGGTACGAAATTTTCGGCTTGCACACTTCCACACCATTCGGTGTCGTGGAATTCGACGGCGCCTATTCTTGGAAATACCAGTGCTTCTGACATGTGAGTGGCTGACTTTCGCTTCTTCTCCATCAAACATAGTTCAGTAAAACTGGCCAATTGGACTCCAATAAACTTGTTGTTGTTGCTGCAGACGGCACTGGAAATCCTATATCAGTCCTTGGCTTCATGTTGTGCCCACTATGGTAAATCAAAAGGCAGGGAAGCTTGAAACAGCTTTTTGGAGACAGAGAAAAGTTAATACAATTATGCTTATGCCGCCATCACGGAACTTTTCACATGGTCACGCTAGAATTTTTATGCTGGTGCGAGAAGCGCTGAGCTAAAACACTCGGCCCTTAGTCGCTCACATTCTGACAAATCAGTGCATACTTTCTTGTTGTCTGTAGCCGGCTTGCGACACATCCGTCTGACTTGATATTGGGATACTTGGAGCGGCTCGCCACCGGAAACAGATCATAAACAGATCACGGCAACTTTGTCCCAAAACCCAACCAAGCTTGGTGTGCGACTGCGCTACAGTCTAAATGAATCGATAGACGTGTTCCATTTATCTCACGCAGAACGTGGAATAAAACCTGGAAATGCGGTTCACCAGTAACACTGTCATCCAGAGTAACTACTGAGCATTTGCTGTTTAGAAAGCTTGCTCCCAAAGGTGACTTTCGGATGAACTAGTACGTTATATTCTGGTGTATATTTGCGACAGAAGTGCTATTATTCGAAAAAGGAAGACTTACTAGTTTCTGTCCCGACCTAAAGCTGTCACCTTGTCGTGGTGGTCGGGCTTGTGCTGCGATGATCCTGCTGGTTATACTGACTGTAACTCAGTTCTAGTCAGTTCCTAAAGTTCAACAATGTCAACGGAGAGCAGCCCGAGAAAGAACAGCGAGTCCCCATGCTGCGAGTAATCATAGTACGAGGCGGTCAGGAGGTAAAGTCGCACTGTCCTCTGTAATAAGAGTGCGGAGGCAGTGAGGCGTTTCCCCAGGCGACCAGCAAATCCATATTTATGGAAGCAGTGATTCCGCCTTCCCCCGAGGAAGAACGGGCTAGAAAAGGCCGACCGTAAAAACCGCACACTCCGATAGCCCAATGGTTTATCGTGACCGCTGACGCATTAAACAATACGGTCGAATTACCTTTGAAACGAAAAAATCCGGTGCTGCCCTAGGCTGCACTAGGGCCAAACCGGCCCCTACAGCCAAATAGATCAGACTAGTGAGTTATTGTTTCGGAGAATGGTCCCCCAAGAAAACCCTAACAAACGCTACCTCGCGATTCAGACCATTCATTCACTACCGGTCCTCCAGCCATTATTCTGTGTCTAAGTATTCGCCCAAAAAATCAACTAGACTAATAATAACTTACCAACCTCAAAAGATCTGATCCATGTTGCAGCCGTTGATATCCGTACTCTATGTCAAATTAGGCAGTAGGCATCCCTTGCTGAAACCTTGCTTCCCCTATCTGTCGATGTATGTTGTGTCTCCGAAACGCATTCAGTACCCCACTTTTGTCGTGCACCTCAAACCTCTTGGGACGAACTCAGATGTCCCACATTTGACTTTTCGGGTATCTGGTGATCCTGAAGCATTGGCTCGTGCTATCTAGGGTGTGGGAGTTGCACTCAGCTCCAGATGAAGGTGCCTTACCGGACTGGATCCAGTAAACAGTCGACTATGTGTTGTGCGGTTGTCTGCTTCAATTAAGATCAATGCAGGTCGAAGCGGTAAACGGTGCTTATTTGTCGTATCGGATAGACAGCAGTTCTGAGACAGGAGGGGTTTTATCAAGATCTGTCACGACTGCTTCGGTCAGCAAGGACGGATACAGTAATCCTGGTAGATGATATGAATCCCCAGTTTGGACGACTAAGTCCGGAAGAAATACAGTTAGGTGGTAAGTTTGGAGTCGATCCTGAGCGTACCGATAATGGGAAGCGACTTCTTCAGTTGTGTCCAGATCACCATCTGTTCCTGACCAGTACGAACACAAACGCACACATCGGGTTACTTGGAGGCCACCTACAACAAGACAGTCGTGGACTTAATTGGACCATGTCGCCAATAACCGGTGGAGAGTCTCAGTTAAGGATTGTCACTCCTTCTGAGGTACGCAACTTGACTCTGATGCTATCCTGTGGGCTCGACTGTCACTTTGCTTTCCGTCAGTAATATGAGTGCCAAAGGAGAGCAGCTCCGTTCATCAACTTCGACAGGTTTTAATAGCTGAAGAGTATCGAGCTGGTGTGGCCAGAAAGGTACTAGAACGCACGGTCATCCGAATGACGAAGACTGCCTAAATGTACTCTCAGCTTTCGGAACTGTTCATCCATGTCACCTGACACGACCACTGGATATGAACACTGGATATCGTCGAGATCAGCAGATCTTATTGCTACCAGAAAAGCCATACCAGCAACTGGCGCACGCAGATCCATCAAACAGCGGATAATCTGGAGCTTGAAGAATGGCAAAGAATGCCGGCGGATTTCGAGGGTGATCGAAAATGTAGCAGTTTGAACCATTGTGTCTATGACACACGTTTCATGGCTGACAGGTTGAACTGATTGATTTTTCTAGTTTACGTCGTCTTTATATATTGTTTACTGTTGCAAGAAGTTCGCCATTAGAATGTAATGTACATGAATGCAAATGTAATGTAAATGAATAAATGTAATGTAAGGAAAAGTGGTGCTCAGCATATACTGCAAGCGAGTAACCACGCTAACTCAACCTATTCTCGCAGAAAATCCGCAGTCTCCTAAATAGACATTCCAAAGAATACATTAGAATTGTACAACGTGATTCGGGGATTTCACCACTCGATAGAGGTAAAAATCGAGACATGAACGGTTCATCTGGTTTGCTGTCGCTTACTTAAACGAGTCCAAGCAAGGAAAGCGTTTCGAAATCACTAATGCTAAAATACACCGGGCTCAAAGACAGTAGGAATGATATGTGGATCCGGCAGCCAGATCAAATGGTAGCAATTCAACTTCGATTACAAGCCAAGACCAGTTAACATTTTTTACAGTTCTGTGAATGCACCCCATGGAGTCCAGTATCGTTTCAGTGGTAGCTTGCTCACAAGAAACAAATCGCACAAGTACCTTCGTTCAGTAGTCACTCTTATGAAGGCAATCCTGAAAGCAGACCGCACGCAAACGGAACAACCACCAACCCACCGCTACGCACTACTACGCTCCACGATAACGCACTGATGATGTCACCTCGATTGGTGATGAAACGTTTGCAATCAAATTGCCCAGCTCAGCGAACAAGCCAACGACCACCAACACTCAAGTCAGTTCAGTTTACTAGCGACAAACTATATACTAAAGTTGCCTTGGTTCCAGCTGAGGCAGTTTCGATCACCGGAAATTAGAGAGCAGGAGAGATAGTCATATATTAGAGACCACGGCACAATTAGCTTCTACTGGTCTGGGCAGCTACGCACTGTAGACGACAGCTTTGATGCACGAGCGTCACCGTGTGATTGAACGATGCATGTTATTGTCATTAACTCCCGATCAGCTAAGTTCCAGGGCTCCATTCCAGGAGGGCGACAGCTGTCAAGCCGACTGAATTTACTAGTTGGTGAATTCATACTTCGTCGCCAGATCACAGACTATATACGTCTCGGTCAGTTACAGTCAGCACAGAACTGAGACAGACAGTCCTCTGGCATAGGAAGTATATCATTCAGCTCTAGCATCCTTCGGTGAATAATCCATGGAATGTGAGGAACTAATCCAATGTGACGAGGTTCCTCTTCTGGAAAACCACCTAGAATGCCTCAGCATCCCTGATATGATGTTCCAAAAAAAAAACAAGCGCAATGCTTTGGGGGCACCGATGGTCAGACACTGACAAATCTCGTAGGCCCTCTGCAGGTACAGATCATGTTTCTGATTCATAAAGCAGTATATATCGTACCGTCGCAGCGTATACTTGACAGATAAACTGACGTCTAATTGGAACCATAGGTATCGGAGTTTGGCGAAAACAGTCCTGACCTTCCGGATTCAAGACATAATTTCATATCCAAGCAACTGCCCAAGTGAACAAGTTTATCTGCCATATCGACTGGCTAGTTTGTAGGCATGAGCTTTGATCCACCTAGTCTTATAACAGCACTTTACAGGTTGGAAGCATGGAACCAATACCTTTGATAGTCAAACAGCGCGAAATTTCCTGACGATTGAGAGCGGCTTTCAGATCAAGAGAAACGACCGACATAGAATAGTTGAAAGACGTCTCGCGCTATTTGAGAACTTGTTTTAAGGTAAAGATACGGTCCACACCCTTAGTCAGGCGAAACCCAGCTTGGTTCCCATGAATCTGGCTCCTCTGATAATCGATCGGCTTGCACAAAATAATGCCAGACAACTTTGAATGCCAGAGTAGTTTTCAAATGACGTTCTTGTACTCTTTAAATATAGGGTTAATGGTCGAGGGGCCTTATTCCAGCGGTATTCTGTTTTCCTTCCAAGTCTTCCGCAGTAGGGTTGTCAGTTTGTTCAATGGGGCTACACCAACTTGTTTGATCAGTGCAAGGTGCATACCATTCGGGCCGGTTGCTATGTCACGTTGAAGGAATGATATCTGACGCTGGGTTTCTGTTGCTGATGGCGGACTGGTATCGGTGCTCCACGCAGGGTTAATCGGTTTTTTCAGAAGCAATGCTGAACGAGGTTAATAGAGAGGCAAGATAGTCCAAGTGGTTAGAGCGCGGATTTATTGACCGGAACATCCGTGGTTCGAAGCCGACTTCTGCCTCTCGACTTCCTCTGTCTAGGCTTGGGAAACCTGGCAGTATCCAGCACTCGTGCAACCTTTGAAGGACATGGCAGTTAGGCTCCGAAAGGATCCTACATCTGAACACTTAACAAGGCCAATGGACTGTACTATATAAAGTCCAGTACAGGCAATGATTCGGTGAATGAATTGCCGGCGCATCATTTTTCGTACAATTTCTGGCTGACATCTGTATTCTTTGGCCCAGGTGGTTGAATCGGCTGATAAATGGCACGGTTGTTGCCTGAAGCGAGAGCTTTATCCATTTCCGGACCTTCGCAGTTCACCAGAGATCTCTGTCAATCTTTATCTGTTTAATTATCCGACGTTTGAGGGATCTGCGTTCAACATTATAGTCGCTAATTTCTGGTATGACCTTCATTGTGTCGATGAATGGCCTACGGTGTGTGGCCTCCAAGTGAATTTGGTGTGAGCGCTTCTACTGAAATTTCATCCTGGCTAAAAACGGAGATGTTCAACACACAGCTGAAGAAGACGTACCTGATTTTTCACGCACTGAGCACCGACTCCGAGTCTACCCGATACATCCAATCAACCCAACTATGCTTCGTCCAGGGACTGTGGTGAACCCCACTCAAAGATGAGCATATTTGTTCCTCTTGCTGGTCGAACCAGTTGGGGCAGACCGTGATGAAGCCCGTCTTTCTGAGATTCAGAACTGCAGGCTATCGCGGCATATACTGGCAAAGCAAGTAAACACCGTTTGCTGTTTGCATTGGTTTTAACTAAGCTAGATAACCGTACAGCGCACAAATGACTGTTTAGTGGGATCCAGTCCGGTGAAGCGCTCTCGGCCCTAAGGTTAAATGGAATTTCAACACCATACACTCCACGGACCTTTGAATCAGGAACACCAGGTGTCGGAAGAGTGAAGTGTCCAACGCCCGAGCTCTCCCTTAGCTGATTAAGATGCACGCTCGACGTTTCACACATGCTTCGAAGACACATCATACATCGACATAAAGGGAAAGCGAAGTTTCAGCTCGACTCGACAGATTATGGACATTAAAGTTCAATAAGGGATTATTTTTATTTTATTTTGCTTGGCAAATAAGCTGTAAGGAATAATGATACTTCCTAGTTGTTCAGGACGAAGAGACGCCTTTGACTCGAAAATTCCGACCCACAATACTGCCTTCACACTCTTTATGCAGAGAATACCGCCAAGCTGCCTCGTTATACGATTTCTCGCAGTACGGGGACTCACTCTTATTCATCGGGCAGATACCCTTTGGCCTTCCTGGAGGGGATAAACTTTTAGGAACTAAATTCCAGCCAGTAAATCCGCAGGATCCTTTCATCATTGAGGTCCGACTGCCATGATAAGGTGATAGCTTTAGGTCGGGACATGTAGACACCAGGTAGCACTTTCTACTAAACTGCAGTTGTCGCTCTCTAGAAAGACCGCGTGAAAGATCGACCGTTGAAATGTAGTCCAAGAAGCCAATCACCAACGTCTACTTCCAAGGTGACCACTCCAGCAGAGAACAAAAGTATCATGTATTAGGAACAAGATATGAACAGGTTTTTACAGCAGTTCCACGGTCAATTCACACTAAATTGCGTCCAATAGTAAAAATGCAAGTTTCGGCAAGCTTGCAGCCATGTACCAAACTATTCTACTGTTTGATAGGCGAAGGTCTAGTGCAAGGTATAAGTTTTATCCATTCCAGGTAAGTAAACCCGTGTAGTGGCTATGCGAAGGGAAAAGACAGCGGAGAGAGAAGGTGGTGCAACGGTGGTTCAGACGCCAAATCCATTAGTGCCATGGTAGTTTGTTACCTCGCACAACTTCTTTCGAACTTCGTCGTGGATTTGGCGGCAATTTGACAAAAACTGGAAACGTGGTAATCAAATTTTCCAATTGGTTCGCTTACAGATGCTTGTCCGTGAGTCAGATTCGATTATGTATTCAGCCTAAATGAACAAACTTGACAAGTGAAACCTGGTGGTATTACACAACAGTTAGGTCAAATAAGAATATATCCTGCTTGCCGGGGAACTCAGATGTCAGACAAACGCATTGAAGTCAATCGCTGATCGTTCACCGAAAAAAATCATCTTTTTAGATTACCGTGTTTTCTAGTGTTCATGACTCAGGCTGGGAATCGTTGGAATGGACCCCAATCGTTGTAAGGTACTTGGAGGGTGGTACCATGCGGTTCCCTCAAGATGAAAAAGCGGTAAACGGTGAAATCTTTTCATTCGCTTGCGTATCTTCACATTTCTGTGGGAAGACTACATCACGCACTTTTATCGCTATAGAAATCGTTCAGCTGTAGCACCCTTTCGGTGCCCATGTGCCGTGCCACCCGAAGAAAACGCGAGGTCTGGGATACTGCCGAGACAGGGACAGTCGAGAAGCACAGGTCGGTTTCGAACGACGAACCTTCTGGTCAGTAAATTCGGATTCTAACCACAGCCATCTTGTCCGATTTATCGATTTAATTTAATGCTAATGAGTGTTTAGAATGAAAGGAATGGTCACTGCAAAATGCAGGAGCAGCGAATTTCCTGGCCAAGCAAAATGTGGTTAAGTGTGAGACCCATTACGCCAAACACTTCTAAAAATGCATTATCACACCACAGACTGCTAGTAGTCTAGCGTCCAGCTACCACAACCCCCACCTCAGAGGTGTACCGATTCCATTACACATCAGTGTACTTTCCCACCACTTCCGCGCCTGAAAACAAGATTTCAGTGGCAGTTTCAAGTATCCCCTGTTTGGAAAAGATCGTACACTACTACTGACGGGGAACGCTGTTGCGGATTCTCTAAGGACGTAGCCTCTCTTGGGGGGAACCGTATCAGGGCTAGGTGCAAATATGTGGACTGAAATGTTGATCATGTATACAGATGCGAACGATTACTCACACGCTTTGTTTGGACTCGACATGCGTCACAATGGCAGCTACACGTGGTGATTTGACCCAATCCTGAATACGCTGAACTTTGAAAGCCTAGAACAAAAAGAGTGAATTTTGTTACAAAAACTGAAATCCACATCAAGAACAAGTTAGGTGCATGACAATTTCGGTTAAAAAGGGGCACAATCAAGATCAAGTTGTTCAAAAATTTTTGCTAAATGTGGTGCGAGGCGTTTTCAACAGTAAAGGTAATGGTTGACCACGTAGACCCGTCTGTGATACACAACCCAAGGGTCATGAGATACCAGCCAGTAGAAAACTACGAGGATTATGCGAATACACATATAGGTTAAAGTAAGGTTAATTCATCATTCGATGGAGCTTAACGGTGAAAAGATCCCTTTGAAAAGTGCAGTCCCTGAACCTTGTCAGACAGGACTATCCGGCCTAGAGGTAGTGAATAAGGTCATCACTAAGCTGCAGTTACCAGTAACTTACCCAAAAGAAAGGCAAGTTCCATCACTTTAAATAAAATGACCGTTTCCAACCCGATAGAGCTAAAGACCCTATGGTTGTGCACAAGGTGCATTGAAGAAAGCGTGTGTGATGAGCATTCCATTAAAACATCGGCAAGAGTTGGAGCACGGAAAAGCTACACTAACCAGTGATGAGCGAAAAGTCATCTGAAAACAGGCTCAAGTCATCTCAGAGGTGGCCAGTATGCACCACATTGGTAGCTGAATTTCGGAGTGGATGTCAAGGTCTATAAAACCTAGTTAACGGAACTTAGCTCTAATAAATAGGTACAATTACTCCAATAAACACAAAGCTGACCTGCACACACATGTGCTCATGAAATGAAGCGGTAGGTTCTTCACCAATCCTACGCATGCAACAACATGAGGTGATGAACAACTAAAGGACAATCGAGAGAACGCAGACCCTATATATCACTGTCTGAAGGCGAGACCAAAGTAATTTATATCACACAGTACAACACGAACTAAAATGCGCCCCAATGTGATTTTCATACTATTTGTTGATGAGCGACCAACACTACTGAAGATGTGGCACGCAGCACACTTACCGGATGCCATGAGTTTCTTTCAGATGACATGCTATAAGGGGTCCACAGTGGCTTTATGTATAGTCTAAGGACAAGTATCAACCCACAAATCTGCACACTCATACATCGATTTCTAAGGATTCCAGTCCCTTCCCGTCACATATGCAATCGATGGTGATGAAACGCCTCAGCGTTCGAGCACGAAATTTCATAACTGACTACCGATGCACCTAACTGGTATGATCGGGGTCATGCTGGGGGTTCCAAGCATGAAAACCATTCCTGGCAAGCTCGGTCAGGTGGACAACTGCCGTCCACCCAGGGGACACTGTGACGAGTCGAATCAAATGGCAGAAACGCTAACAGATATTGTTGGTGAACTAATAATACAGCCTGACCGTGGGCTTAACAGCGATAATGTCGGAAACTGCTGACTAGCACATATTCACCTCTTCCGACTCTTCACTACGATGACATATGTCCGTAGCCAAGACACGATTATCGCAAGAGTTGCACTGTACTAATCTGTGCGGCCGCATTTAATACCCAATTTCTACACCGAAACAGAATACTTGTGCACAGTTCGTCGTTGACGATACTGAGGACGTCGCGATAGAAAGCTGCAAGCTAAAAGAGGTCAAACAGTAGCACGGCAGCGAAGCGTGTAGGTCGTAAAAGGCAAACACAGTCACGTTAGCGGCTAGAATCGCCTAGGACAGGGACTCCGAAGTGGAATATATATGGTTGGAGGTACCGAAAGACAAAACCCCACACTAGAACTTTCGCCTCGAAATCATATATATCCATAACTTGGAGCAAAATATAAGGCGGACATGATTAGCCCAACTGCCAAGTGTTCACACTTATCATCAGCATATTAACTGTCATCAGTGCTAGTGAGCTCGGTGAGTCATTGTCCCGAGTAGGAGCACCCGACTTACCAGCTCACACTTATCCGCTGATTCGTGGCCACGAACGGTTCTGGAATTCAGGCAATTTTGAGCCATCGACAACAACTCTTGTACATCCATGTCGTTTCAAAATCCAATGTCTTCAATCAGTAAATACCATCAATTGACTGTAAAATAACCAAAGCATACGGCGATCTGAAAAGTGGAGCATTCTAACGACAAGTAATGAAAACTGCAAAAGTTGGCTGTTGCACACGCAGAATGGTAGCGCCACATCGCACCCATCGTCGTCGATGAACATGATTTTCCACGGTATGGACAGTCAGGTTCAGCTCGTGTTGAGATAGCGGACGTAGATCTGGCCGCCTAAGCTCCTTACTAATAAAAAACAAACGGTCCAGCTGAATAGGTGCCGTGAAACTCGAAAAATGTACGAGGGATAAGATTCCGACAAGTTTTCCAGGCCCAAACAGAAGCAATTGAAAAGACAGGATGGAATGGTTGAGTCGTCGAATCTCATCACCGTTCTTCAAGATTTGCTCAACGATACATGATCGTCATTGTCGACAACACATCAGTGTTTGGCACTAAAACCTCGATTCCGTGCAGCTGTGATTTACTGAAAGCCTCATTTGAAAAGAACGGGATGTGGATAGGACCTAGAACCAGTCTAATGCACTTAGTTCGAGGAACCAATAACTCCAAAAGGTCACTCAAGCGATTTCGATAGAAACTGGCCGGAGGGGGACAACTGACAGCGATTAGCAGTCCTATCCTCGAGAGCCTACAGCAAAGCACGGGAACCCCATCCTAAAAAGTGGATCACGCCAACTTCTCGTAATCGTCTTCATAACAACGGCAATCAAAGACCTGGGTTTCACTACTCGTGGTACAACCAAATAAACCAACACTGCGGTCTGATATATGTATCTCTCGACATTCAGAGACGAAGCGTTTTATAGCCATGTCCCAAATTACCAAACACGATCCAGGTTTTCGATACTTGTACACTGACCCCATGCCACATTACCATAACACTGTAGGATATACGGCAAGCGGAAAACTCTTGGAATAATAAGCGATGTGTCCATCGACTACACGTCCGGGGGTACGACCTTCATAGGCAAAAACATGAACACCAAAGGACAGGACGATCGTGGTCTGTCAATCCGGAAACACCTATGCCACCTTTTCCTCTTCGAGGATGTGAAGGATGTTGTTTTCATAATCCATACCTGCAATTTTTCGCCAGCAAATATCCAAATAAGACGGATTTGAAGATTTGCTGATACTAATCTATTTTCGATCACAAAACTGAACACGAATGGAGGCAGCGAGCATCCTTGTCCAATACCAGTTTCATAGAAAACCTATTTCACACTCTTTACAAACATTTGGGCACGCCTGCAATCCTGACAAAAGCAGTAATTTAGAATATTCTCAAACCCCCATGGTATTTTTTATCGAGCATGCGTGTTAAGAACAGAGCGGATATTGGAGCCAAATGCACTTTTGGAACCCGAAAATATCAAAGTTGTAGATCGCCTGTACGGACTGTATCTCTCTAGCACATTGCGAAGCACGAAGATGTAGTAAACGCAACCTCCACAAGGATGACTCCCCGCTTGATGCTATCGGGCCACAACTTCCGTCAGTCAATCAGTTAGTCAGTTATTGTCCGAGATAGCCCAGTAGTTAGAGCCCAAACTTACGGATCGAAAGGTTCACACAGGCCACGCCTTGCAACCAAAAAGTCGTTCAGTCCTAACGCCCATTCGGTGGCTAGCTGCTATGCTACCCGAAGGAGGCACGAGGGCTGGGATACTGCCAGGATGCCCAAGCCTAGACAGGGGAAGTCGAGATGCGGAATCGGGTTCAACACACGGACCTTCCGGTTAGCAGCTTCGCGCTCTAATTACTGAGCCCCTCGCAACCAAACAACGCGTCCACTACTGTAGTCTGTTATACGCGAACCTTGGAGAACAAATTTGCGTCGCTTTGGTGCCACAAGTAATGCAAATTAGCAAACGTGATTTCAGACATTGCATCGTGCACTAGCTACATTAGACGAACTTCCACCACAGCTACACACATACCGAGGCATGCAAAATCTTCCACAATGAGTCCAGAACTTGAAATTCGGTGCATCAGGTGGCAAAATGAATTGACATTCGAAGTACTATGCCACGTTGCTGGATATCATAGAACCCTTTGTTCCCCGATAATTTCGTTGACAAGAGGCCTTCGAGGACCAGCCGAAGCAACAGAATGGATATTTCTAAAAATATTTTGCCTCTTCCATTTTTTCGGCTTGGTAGGTACACCAAGCTTTTCGGTATGTACGGACAATCAGTTTTACCTGATATCGGATGAGGCGTCAAGTTGTTAAAATATTTTGCCTCTTCCATTTTTTCGGCCTGGTAAGTACACCAAGCTTTCCGGTATGTACGGACAATCAGTTTTACCCGATATCGGATGAGGCGTCAAGTTGTACGGTTCCAGCTGGGTTCCAGGTGAGTCTCTCGAAAAAACCAAAGTAGTTTGCAAATAAGTGTATATTCGCTAGTTTCGTGCAATTTGGTTTCAAGTAAAACATAAGGTTGACGTAAACTCGGGGACTGCGCCTACATGCTGAGCCCCAAAAAGAGCGAAACCGGTCGTGGGCTGTCGACGGATTTTCAGCAA